GACGAACAAAAGACTTAAGAAACGAACTTCTGGCACTTGCAACCAGAGCAAAAGGATCATCTCTCTCTTCCGCTGTCTCTCGCGGACACGCGGGGGAAATAAGGTCAGTGGCAAGAGTGGCCAGAGTGGCCAGAGTGGCAGGAATGGTGGGCCACCCAAGGGGCATGCACATCCACACAGGGCCACAGGTAGCCAAGAAAAACATAGCCGCAGAAAAGAGAGGAGCGGCGCAGGGCCCCCTCTCTCTCTCTTTCTCTCTCTCTCGAGACTGTTGTAAAACGTCAAAAACTGGAAAGAAAAAAACCACTCAAAAATACTCAAAGCCAAGGGGCCCTGTGGGGCAGCGGGGGAGCGGGGCGGCTGCAGCCGGCGGGGTCTGTGGGGCATATAAGGTAGAAATTATTAACTGACATTTTAATGATGATAATGATGATGCCCCGTTGACGGTTGCCTCTTGCAACTGCGTCGGTGGCTAGACATAAAAATGAAGGAACAAAAAAATAAAACTCTTTACCCTCGAGGGGGCACCACACAGATGCCCCATCCTCTCTCTCCAGGTAGAGAGACCCGCGGCAGTGGCCGCGTGATTTTTATCAGCTCCCCACCTGATGACTGGCGCCAGCTTCATTTGGTTGCCACTGCCACTGCCACTGCCCCCCTCTCCAGAGAGAGAAGGAGGGAAAGAGAGAGAGCGTATTTTGGTGAGAGTATTCCCCCCCCCCCCCCTTCCACCAAAAATGTAGAAAATCTGAAGTTTAGAATGGATTTTTCGGTTCAAAAATCAATTAGCCATGAATTTTAATTGATTTTCGGAAGGAGAATGCCCCAGAGAGCAGAGAGGAGTGAGAGAGAGAGAGAGAGGGATAGTGAGACAGGAGGCTGTAATTCGTTGGGGCACGGTGGCATTCGATGCGGCTGTAAAGTTGCCTCTCCTTCTGGCCGCCAGATCAAGCATGAAAATAAGTTTTGTGGCTAATTTTCGAGGCACCCACAATTCGCTGCAGCAGCAGTCGGCAGCAGCCGGCAGCCGGCAGCCGGCCAGGACTTATTGTCAGGTCTGTGCCGCGTCTGTTTGCAACATGCTTACTGTCAGTGCAACAACAGCAGCAACAACAACTGCAACGCACTGTCACTGTCATGCATCATCAAGAGGAGGCCTCTCTGTGGCACTGTGGCTGGCTCTCTGTCTGCTGTTTGAAAATTATTGCATGTCTCGGGGACGACGCGACTTTGGGTCTTCAACCTGCCAGAGGATGCAGCAGCCTCTGTCTCTGTCTCTGCCTCTGTCTCTCTGTCTCTGTGCCTCTGTGCCTCAGTGAGTGATGCGATTATCTGCAAGATTCGCTTATCTACGGTGATCCATCAGTGGATGGAGTCTCCTCCTCTGATGGGAGGCTCTGTGGCCGTGGCTCTGGACTCTGGCGAGATCTTCGTGCAAAAATGCGTAGCCGTACGCCTGCGCGGGCGTCCAGTCTGCTGTCTTCCTTTTCTCTTCATATAAATTAGAATGTGAGCTGCGTATTTGCACGTGTGTATCTGTGTGTATCTCATGGATACATGGATACATGGATACATACTCCTGTGTCTGCGTTTTTAATTTACTCTTTACTCGGGCGGTGGCTCCCACGGTCGAGCGGACATGCGGCCACCTCTGGAGAGGCAGAGGCACCCGCTAGGAGAAGAACTTGCAGCTTGCGGTTTGCCGTTGCCGCTGCTGCTGCCTCCAGGAAGCTCCGAAAGATACTGTGCTGTTTTTTTTGTTGACTTTTGATTGAAAGTTGACACAGCGAAGCGTTGAAAACCACATCCGAAGCCAGGCGAGGCCAGGCCTTTGCCTCAGTCTCTGCCTCTGCCTCTCTGCCTCTGCCTCTCTGCCTCTATGCAACTGAATCTGCCGCTTGGCTCCAATCTCTGGCTCTGTGGCAGGAGTCTATGCCCCATGCGTCCTATGCAAATGCAATTAGTTTTTCTGATTAAGTTGTAGGCAGGCCGAAAAAGTGCGCGCCACTGATGGGAGGCACAGCCGAGGCACTGCCACTGGCACTGCCACTGCCACTGCCTGAACACCAAAAGTACACTTAAGCGCAGAGCACAAGCGACAGACCGTTAAATTGTTGCAATTACGAGAGTTAGAGCGATGTTGCCACTGCCACTGCCGCCATATTTGAGCTGTAAAACAATATGCAAAAAGGTAGGTGCCTCCTGCCACCCCCAGCCACCCCCTGCCAACTCCTGCCGCCGCTCTCGTTTCTATCGTCTGTCGTTTTGTGGGTGTGTATTGTGTTGCAGCGGCAGCAGCTACTGTTGTTGCCACTGCCTGCCTGCCTGCCTGCCTGCCTGCCTGCCTCTGCTTGGGGCAATTGTTTAGCACGCGCTGCTAATTTTGTGCCGCTGCTGCTGCTGCTGCCGCTGCCGCTGCCGCTGCCGGTGCCGTAGCAATTTCTACGTTGCATGCACGCCTCGTTGATTGTAGTAGGTGGAACGATACGATACGATACGATACGATACGATGCGATATACCCCCCGCTCTGCTCTTCGAGGGTGTCCACATGCCACATCCCAGTGGCAATCATTTTAATAGCAGGCTTCTTTCTGTGGTCAGTCTTTCGGTTGCAGCAAGTTCTCTCCCCCTCTCGCTCCTCTGCGGCTCTATGTAATTTATGCCCCACAACTAATTGCATTTGAAAGTTTAAACTGCAAAAGTCAAACGGTTTTCAGATACGAGATGCATGCCACACACACACACACACACACACACAACCATAGGCATAACCATAAACATAACCATAACCCAAAAAACAAAAACAAAAAACAGCGTTAGAGGCACCAAAAAATGCTGAAACACACACAAATCGGAATCGGAATCGGAATCTGATTTTAGATTCAAAAAAAACCAAAAACAAAATAAATGAAAAATCAGTTTCTCACGCGCTTGTTCCCTCCGCAGAAGTGGAGCTGCGCCATGGATTTCCATTTTCCCTGGGCTCTGGGCTCTGGGCTCTGGGCTCTCGGCTCTCTCATTTGAAATTCATTCGAATTTCATTCGTATTTCAATAACGCAGCAGCAGCAGCCAAGCCAAGCCACAAAGCGATGTTTATCTGTGAGGTTGTTTTTGAGTTTTTGAGTTTTTGAGGTTTTCTGTGAGTAGGCGTGTGGTTCGAATAGTTTTCAAATCGAATGGAATATGGGCTGCGGCTTCGAGTGGCAAGTCGAGTGGTCGAGAGATATAGAGATGGAGATAGGGGGGGGGGACTGTTGGGGAGGGGAGAGCACGTTTGGGGCCAAGGTTCATGAGATAAGAGAATGGGAGGATGGGAGCGCAGCCTCTTGTTGGGGGTGCGATAAGGCAGTGCCAGAGTTTATCAGCAGCCGCAGCAGCGTGTCCAGTGGCTGTGGCAGCAACAGTGGCAGCTGTTTGGAAGGCAAGGCACGCTCAGGCCCACAGATACAGATACAGATACAGATACCCGTTGCGGACTGCCACTGGGGCAGCATTTTTCTGGGTTGTTTTTTTTGAACAAGTTTTGGTTTTGTTTTCGGTTTTGGTTTTTGTCGATTTTTGTCGATTTTTGTTGATTTTTGTTGGCGGCATATTTGTTAAGGTCGCCTCGCGCGCACAGCTGCAACACAGAAACTCGGGGCTCGGGGCTCCACATAGCTGCTGGTCATATGCCACCGCAAAACATGCCATGTTGCATGCCTAATTGCAACAGGTGGCAACACACAAAACACAAAGCACAATCGATGTGTGCAGCAGTGGCAAGGGTTCCTGTTGCAGCAGCAACATGTCACATTTTCTGTCAATTAGCAGTCGCCCCCAACAGCAGCAGCCCCCTCCCCCCCCCTGCCATGCAAATCATGACACCCCCCCCCCCAACCCCCTGAACTGGCAGCTGCACCTGCGCCCCGTTGCAGCAATGTGCTGCATTAAATTGATTAAATTGTACAAAATAATTAGCAAATAATAGCAATTGTCTGGCCAAAAAAGGCAGCAGCAACAATTGCAAAAGTGACATGGGATTTGTGTCTGTCGGCTACTGGAAATCGTTTATCTAAGAAATTAATAAGCAACACAAAAAGATTATAGATATATTTAAATAAATTAAAACACGGCAGGAGAATTATCTGCCCAGAACGAAGCACGAGATACACTTCCTTTGATCGAATTTCACATTCGCAGTTGGGGAATCTTTTTCGGATGAATCTTTATCTTTAAAGGGCATTCTTTCTTAACCCCGAAAAGATACTTGCTGCTCTGCTTCCCTTTGTGGCAAGGCGAGCATCTGTTGCCCTTAAAACCCCAATGCGATTGTACCCTCCTCCTCGGGAAAGAGTATCCGTATCGGGGATCATCAATCAATTTTCGACTTCGATTTCCAATCAGGCGGCTTCCCTTTTTGATATACGAGGCAGGCACTCTCTCTGCTGCTGCTGTTGCTTTTGCTGTTGCTGCCACTGTTTTTTCGGTTGCAGACACGCCCACTTAATTTGCCTCCACGTTTAGTGGGTGGCAACCAGTGCTGTGCTTTTTGGTTACTAATATTAAAACACTTCAATCAATCAATGTCCCGTGGAAAATCAGCCGAAAAGTCTATGTATCGAATATCCATCGAACGCCAAGCAGTCTCGCAAGACTCTCGCCTCCTGAAATACCTGCCCCACGATCCGATCTCAATATTTGCCTATAAGGCCATTAAATATTTATGAACCCCAGACCAGGCCGGACCAGGCCAGGCCAGGCCAGGCCAGACCAGACCAGAGTTTTGTCCAGTTTCCAGTTTTGATTAATGATCGAAACGTCTGTGGCTGTGTTCTGCTTTAATTACCGCAGCAATTAGCAGCTGAAGCTGAAGCCGAAGCCGAAGCCGAAGCTGCCACGCAACAGAGATCTGCTGCTGCTGCCTGCTGCCTGCCTGCCACAATTTGTCATAGCAGCATCTCCTCCAAAAAATCTCCAATCTCTAACGATCTTCTCCGCTATTTTTCCACTCTTTTGCAGACTATGCCCCCGATGAGCCCACGGATCGTCCAGCCCCAAGTCTAACTCCCGTCTCGAGGTAAGTTCCACACACAGCTGCGCTGCAAGTGCTGCAACTGTGCCTCTCTTTTTTTGGCGCTGCCCGACAACCCTGGCCCGGGTCCGGCTGGCTTTGGCCAGCGAGCGCTTGCGCTCCACCTGGCAACCTTCACTAAAGTCTCTAAAAAAAAAAAAGCTGAAGCTGAAACGCATTTTGAATTTAATGCGTGCGTCGAGGACACCGCAGCAGCAGTGGGGAGGAGGCGGTCTCCAAAGAGGGGGAGGGAGATCGATCATGTGTGTGCGACTGCTGCGACTGCTGCGACTGCCACAAGCAATGGGTGATGCGATGGCCACGCTGCACAGTGATGGGAACGTGACTTCTCGCGCGGAAGGCATTGCCAGGCGGCACTAGGAGTGGGCGAAGCTAAAGGCATTGCCAGGTGGCATTAAGAGGGAGAGAAACTATGGCATGGCCACTTACCCTGGAATTGCCAGGTATTGCCAGCAGCTTAAGGGCAAGGGAAGCTGAGGGCATTGAAAGAGAAGCTTCAGCTGAGGGCATTGCCGTCTCCCACTAAAACAGAGCCTGTCTTACCCTCTCGCGTGACTCTCGTGTCACTCTGCCGTACCCAATGCTGCTTTTGGGGAGGCACAGCTGCCATTGAGAGGGAGTGAAGCTGAAGCTGAAGCTGAAGCTCAGGCTCAGTCTCAGGCTCTCTGCCATTGAAAGTGAATGAAGCCTGAGCATTCTCGACAGATTGCCAAGTTTTTGTCATAAAAAAAAACAAAAAAAAACTGCAGCTAAATGAATCTCTGGCCACTTTTCGAAGATTAATTGCTAGCGACAGTCGCCACAGAGACAACGACAGACAGACGGCGACGGCGACTGCGACTGCGACTGCGACTGTAGATTGGAGTCTGAGGCAGCTCTTGGCCAGAGACCAGACCATAAAAATCGGCAGCCACATTAACATGACGTCAACGACAACGAATACGAATACGAATACGAATACGACTGCGAGTACGACTGCGAGTACGAGGTACAACTCAATCGGGGCGACCTTTGGGGCGACCACTTTGGGGACGGGACGGGCCGGGCCAGTGGCGATTAAGGCCAGAAAAGCTCTCGCGGATTTTTTATTTGTATTTTTCATTTCTCGGGAGATTTCTTTTGACACGCCCCAAAAAATACAAAAATACAAATAAATAAAAATAAAACTGCGGTTTGCCGTGCGCTTTCGGTGTCATCACATATTCGTTTTATTTTTTCTTGATTTCTTGATTTTTTGAGTTTTGGATTTTGATTTTTACTCTTTTTGGGGAGTGTGTGGTGTGGTGTGGTGTGGTGTGTGGTGCTGGCGCTTTATTCATAAATCCATCAGCTGCATATGAAATGTAGCTTAATTAACAAAAAAGAGCCCGTCTCGAGGGGCAGAAGAAGAAAAGGCCACTGCGACACCCAGTCGTAGAGCAGTTCCATTCATTCATTCGTTCATTGAACAACGCGAGTGTCTTGTTTTATGTGTCTGCCACACAAATCTTCTTGAATATCGCCCCATAATTGAGTTGGCAAACGAATCGGTTCACTCGGCCCCATCGCCAGCCCCATCGCCAGCTCCAGCTCCAGCTCCAGCCCCCCGAAGCGATTCGAAACGGTAAATATCCAGCTGAAAGAAAGGAACGGGTCATAAACAAACGAATCAAATTACGAGACGAGGCAAACGAAATCAATTAACACCTGCTGCAGATGATGTGGATTGTGGATTGTGGATTGTGGTGGACGGTGTATGGTGGCCCCCAGTCATCGATCAATCGGTGACACGAGCTGCATAAATTATCTCCAATCCAGTGTCCAGTGTCCAGTGTCCAGCGTCCAGTGTCCATCGTCCAGTGTCCGCTTTCTAGACTTCACTGTTGGCCGGCCGCTCTTTCCAGTGTTCACTGTCCGCCACAGCATAATTGTGTGTGTTCTTTGTTGAGGGGGGGGGGGGGGGGGGGGGGGGGGGGAATTAGCATATCAAACGAAGCATAATTGCACGATAATCGACCACAAAAAACCAGAAAAACGTAAGAAAATCAAAGCTCACACAAATATGTAATTAATGGCCTTTGAAGGGGCTTCGCAGCGGCTTCGAGACACCCCGTGGAGAAGTCTTTCTGCCAAAGAAAACGTATTTCGGTATTTCAAGGAAACGGTTCACCCCTTGCCCCTCCGTCTCTAAGAAATTCCAATGAAATGGAAGCTCATTCTAAATATAATACATGCCTTCATGCTATTTGGGGGAGTACTCGCTGAAGTCTCTATGGAAACCACATAAATAATCACTTCACTTCACTTCGTTGTTCTTAGATTTCTCTGCCATTGAAAATCATAGCTTCCTCCTTGTTATGCGTTGATCCACCCAGAGAGACACGTTCTTGCCTTCTTCTGGACATCCTCTTATCTGTTATCCCTGGCACCCTCTTTCTCTGTCTCGCCCAGCGACAACCCCAACGAATTTCGTGGACTTTGGCGCGTTTTGCATGCGTTTTGCATGCGTTTCTTGACGCCTGACGCTCGCCGAAAGGCGGCTGCCTGCTCCTCCGCTCTACATTCCCAGTCCCTGGGTATTCTCCCCGATCCCCTATACCCGATCCCCGATCCCCGATCTGGTGGACTGGACTCTTGGACTCTTTCGATCGTATAATGCAAAGTGACAGCAACGGCTTGTAGGCAATCAAAATGCGAGCCAAAACACGCGCAAAGTTTTCAATTGCAGGTTGTTGTTTTTTTTTTATAGTGTCGTTGTTTCGGTTTTCCCCTTGCCGCAGGTTGCTGCAACTTGTTGTTGTGGTTGTTGCATACTCCACCTGGCAGCAACGAGGCAAATTGAAAGAACTTGTTGCAGTCAACGCGGTTCAAAAATTGAATGCTTTGCACTTGCATTTTTGCGGTCACACACAGAGCAGCACCACAACCAGAGGCACCACCAGAGGGGGACTTCGACTTCGACTTCGACTCCGACTCCGACTCCGACTCCGACTTGGACTTGGACTGGCGAGTGCACTTTCGGTGGTTACAACTATTGATTACATGCCACGGCAACACACAGCTCACATTACGCCACACAAAATGCGGGTGTTGCACGCCTCCAGTCTGCATTCTGCAGTCTGGAGTCTCCATTCTGCCACTCTGCCACTCTGCCACTCTGGCATTCTGCAGTCTCCTTGGAGTCTCTCTCGCTCTCTCTTGCTTGTAATTAATGCGGGAGCCTGCGCTGACATTTTGAGAAATTTATTGCTGCAAGTGGATTTATAGTCTGCGACATTTTATAGGCTGCAACCACAGAGGTACACAGAGGTACACAGAGGTACACAGAGGTTGCACCGCGAAGGAGAGGATCCCGTGCGATCCCTCCAGGATCCTTCCTTAATGCTCATCATGTGTGCGCGCGCGCATATATAATTTGTGCCTGGCTACCCGATAATGATCGGCCTTTCGGCATAATAAATTTTACACAGAAACAACTGAAACAACAGAAACAACAGAAACAACACCGGGGAAAAACGTTAAGAAACTTTCAACTTGTTTTTGCGGCAGGCAAAGGCTGGCTGTAGGTTGGCGTCTTGCCCCAATGTATCTGCCGCTTGCAATCTATATTAATTTTTATATACAGGAGACGAGGAGACGAGGAGGCGACGTCTTTCAGGGAATGGGTCACGCCGCCACAGCCGCCGCATGCACTTTCATAAATGCCAAAAATTTCACCTGCTTTCACAAAAAGATGATTAAAAATAAATACTCCTCGTATGCAGTCCGTTCCGCGATCCCTTTCCGCCGGGCCCGCGCTCGCGAGAGATATCTTCAAAGTGCAGCCCAGTGGATCGGTGGATCGTTGGATCGCTGGATCGGAGTCTGAGAACGAATCCCTCCGCCCCAAAAACTTGCTTGATATACGATAATTTCGTTCTGATAATGTGATGGACAGAAGGCTAAGAAAGGGAATGGGAATGGGACTGGGAATGGGAATGGGCATGGAGTGGAGTGGAATGGAATGGGGGATTCCAGTGGAGGATCTGGATGTTTGACCCACTTTGAAAGATCCACTCCACTCCCGAGGCGACTCCCAGTGCGTGAGTGTTGAGGCCCACAGAAAGCGTTTAAGGCTAATTGCAAAAGATCGCTTTTGACTGATAAACGATGGAGCAATCGAGCAATGGAGTGAAGGGTGAAGGTGAAGGTGAGGGAGGAGTAGGCGGACGAAAGGGTTTCGCGTCTCTCTCCCTCTCCCTCTTGCTCTCTGGCGCTGACCCCAAACCCCAACAAAAACAAAAACAAATACGAAAGCGCGCTCGTGCTTAATGATGATTGCTGTGAGACTGCGGCCCTAGAGGTTAAAAATTAAATAATTTCCAAGTTGGAGTCGAAGTTTTTAGCCCAAAAACTGATGCCCAAGCCAAGTCTAAGTCTATGGCTAAAATGGCAGGCGTTTCAGCCATTCATTTTCGACCGTACCGTACCGTACGTTGGCCATATATAATTAGCATGAAATGAGCGTCAGGGATCTTTCGCTCTTGGCGCTTTTTGGCTTCGTTTTGTGGCCGCACCGGGCCGGGCCCGGGCCCGGGCCCGGGCCGTGCTGGCCATTCTTCAGAGCTCCGCTGCGGAGCCACACATCTTTATGTTAATTCAGCAATTAAGCAGCAAATCGTGTGCCTAATTATGATAAACTCTTGCAGCGAGCTAGTGGAAACATCACTGTTTTGAGAAGGAAGTGCCACAAAGCGAAGATTCATCCCACTCACATCACATTCGGAGTGGCAGAACAGAAACAGAGACAGCAACAGAGACAAAGACAGAGATAGAGACAGAGACAGAGACGGAACCCGTTTCGTTCTCTGTGCTGCCCTTGGAGGAGGCGCCTCGCCTCGCCTTGCCTTTCCTCCTCTTGCATTCGGTTTGGTTTGCCGATAAAGCGGCAATGGTTTAATTTAGCTGCAAGGAACAGCAGCAGCAGCAGCAGCAGCAGATGACGACAGGATCGTTGGGCCCACCGT